TTTGATCACCTTCTGGTGTCTGGTTGCAGTATAGGTCATAAACCCTGCCCTCTCCATGTAAAGGAATGGGACGTAAGCTAAACTTCAATAACACGACTCTGCCTTACACTCTTAAAAATAAAGGTTCTTCAAAAGGTTCTTCAAGCGATGCCATAGAAGAACCATTTTTGGTTCCACAAAGAACCATTCAGTCAAAGGTTCTTTAAAGAACCATCTCTTTCTTGCGTTTTTGTAATCTGAAGAACCTTATTTCGCCACAAAGAACCTTTTGGGAAACATAAAGGTTCTTTATGGAACCATTTAGACAAAAAAGTTCTTCTATGGCATCGTGAAGCACCTTTATTTTTAAGAGTGTACAATCACTACTCCGCAGACACTGGCTCCAAATGAATCAGTACTGTGCAGACTCAGGCTCCAAATCTGTCAGAAAATATCCTTATTTGCGTTTTGAAGATGAAAGAAAGTCTTATGGGTTTGGAATGATAGAAATGACAGAATTTTCTATCCCTTCAATATAAATAATTACATTTTCTTTGCACAAACTATCATATCAGGCAGCGAAGGATACATGCTTTCACTGAAGCTTAATTCTAAGTTTTTTTTTATACCCATTAAGATGCGGCACAAAGATAAATGGTGTTATGTGTGGGTTGTGCAGAGTAGTCTCTACATTCATGAGCATCAGCACTGTGCCCTTGAACAGCCCATTTAACCCCAGGATGCTCCGGGAGGGCTTTCTATATAATAAGTGCACTGGAAGATCAGAAACACTGTACTCTACATGAATACACAAACACTTGGCTAACGTACTGCAAAAGTGCACGAAAATGCTATGATGTTACACAACAATGGTGTATATGCTGCCATCACTGTCAAACTAAATTAAAGTGTATCTCCACACCAAATGCCTTGAGTCACGTGGCAATAATGGCTTCAATAATACGAATTGTCTTTGTGTGGGTGGAATAGATAATAAATGGCAGGCAGTCAGAAAATAATTATTTGCCGTATCTCTGGCAAAACCTCACAGTGTATAAGAGAATTGAATTCCCATCGGAGCATGTAAGAGCGACGTGCTCTTCAGAAACATTGTTGAGGTTGTGTGGCCCTCACAATGAGAACAAATGTGGTGGTGATGCCAAGCACCTTCATGCACAATCCCTGGGACTGTTTGCTTTGTGTGCAACTATGCAGCAGCCAACAAGTTCAGTAAGTGAAAACTGAGTCAGAGAGAAAGAAAGATGAACCATGCAATGTACAAAAAGACAAACGGAGAGAGAGCTGATGCACACACACAAGCATGTTACAAAACCAATCCACATTCTTGCATATCCTCTTAAATGCTACTGTTATGAAAGAGAATTTCTCATAAATAGAACATCCTACACAGGCAGTTGATCGGGCCAGTGATTACATTTTTTCCAATTTATTTTTTTTTGTTTTTGTCCCATGTCACCTTGTATTCTAATAAAGACGATTGTTACGACACCACCATTTTAGATAGCAGTGAAATACAACAAGTGCTTTAAAGGGGACACTGGATGACATTTTCAAGTTTTTTTTTGTATTTAGTTAGGTTTCTGGCGAGTCTGCCAGCTCAGAAAAGTTGAAAAGAAAACACACAGCCAGTTCGATATGCATTGTCTGAGTCTGAAACTGTGTCATCCATCGTGCTGTTTCAATACGCAGCTGGTTTCTACGCAGGTAGCTAGCTATTTGAATAAGACCACCTCCGAGGCATATATACGGAGTCCAAGGCAGCAATTCATGCATCTTGTGTGACACGCCCCACGGAAGAGGGGTGGGGTGAGCAGTAGCTCATTATCATTTAAAGGGACATACACCGAAACAGGTCACTGTAAACAAAGCTGTTTTTGACAAAAAGGGTGTTGTTTTACACGAAAACTGAGGAATTTTAACCAAAGTATGTTACAGACATTTCAGG